AGATAGATAGATAGATAGATAGATAGATAGATAGATAGATAGATAGATAGATAGATAGATTGATTGATTGATTAATATTAACTTATATTTTATATTAAAAAAAAACTCAGTCCTAGGATTCTTTGGCTGCATTTACATTGCAACGCCTGATGCACAGATTAGATATTTTAACAAATATGTCCTGCCTGTTTATAATCATATAACATTGTCAGCTGTGTTTACATTAACAAGATATGTTAGGCTGGCAATAACACAATCTAGAGCTTTTTAGTTAGGGTTTAGTAGTAGTAACATTAACGCCAACAAATGTCATTTTTATTTAATCCATCTTAAACTCTAATTAAGGCATCTTAAATATGCTGTTAATTATCACTGAAAATAATTTGGGCCTCAGTTTGTACAAACAAAATGTACTTATAATGGAAGCCTATCACTTTAAATTACTTTTAAATCCATTTACCTTTAAATGTGTTTAGATGTATGTTGGAAAAGTGTTTTTTCTTAATTTATGATTTTTTACATTCATTTATGATTTTTTTTTCTGTGTGCTATTCTTGCAGGGTGACCGTGGCCCAAAAGGTGTGATAGGCAGAGCAGGGGTCTTTGGAAAGGATGGAGAAAACGGGCTGGATGGGCCTCAGGGGCCTCTGGGGATTCCAGGACCAAAGGTAAAGTGATTTTACAGTGACATTGGCATTTTGAAGGTAGATAAGCAATTCATTTCAGCATCCTGACCTGAACGTGTTTTATTGTGTGATGTTTTCTGATTCTTTTGGTATGTTAACAGTAAATTTTGAAACACAGGGTCCTTTAGGCTATAAAGGAGAATCAGGCTCACCTGGAGAGAAAGGAGAAGAGGTAAGATAGTTATGGTGAAGCTAGTAACCAAAATATTATAGATCAAATCCCATGATGTGCCATGATTTTGTTTAGTTATTTTATTTTTGCCTAAGGACTTACACTGTTCTTGTTGCAGGGTATTGCTGGACCAGAGGGTCCATGTGGAGATATGGGAAAAGGCGGAGAGAAAGTAAGTTATGATTAAATCAGTAGTCAATAAATGCGGCAACTCATGTTTACAGTATAGGGTGCATTCTTTGAGATGATGGTATATATTTCCATCTAGTGGTCAGGCAAAGAACTACATTATTAAATAGGCACTTAATTAAAATTTGTATAATCTACAGTTGCATAATGCTGGGAAAACTGCCTAATAATTGTAAGTGTTTATGAAAATATGTAACCTGTAGTTCACATTTACAGGGTTCAAAAGGAGCACCTGGCTCTCCTGGTCCTGTCGGCCCTCCTGTAAGTTACAGCAACATTAATGAACAGAATGAACACAATAAAAATTCTTTATTCTTTAATTACATCTGGCGTTGACGTTTAAATGTACATAGTTTTGTCATTCATAATAACAATCTTGCCTGATTATATTTGAATTCTTTTACAGGGTCCACAAGGAATGAGAGGGATGGAGGGCCCTGAAGGTCATCCAGGGCCAGATGTAAGTGAAAACAAAATAACTAAAATGCAGTAAATGCTCAACATTTGTTTATCAAATAAACAAGTGCACATAGTTGCGCATTAAAGTCCACGTGAACCGGTAGTTAGTACCTACTTTACTTCAGTTTTGTGACGTATTTCCAACTGAAATGGAATATTGAATATGGGAGGGGGGTTATTTTAGCACACCTCCATCTCTTGCTCACAGCAAACTAATGGTTGGAGGGGAGTGCCAAAGGCATGAAACTGACGTCATCAGAGAAGAAATGCCATTCCAGAGCGGAAGCTAATGTTCAGATTTTGATTAAAGATTATCAAGACAAACTATTTTTTTCAGTGGATTAACTTGCATGGATTAATAGTTCACCTCAAGACCAACAATGTGCGCTAACAAAATAAATAGTGAATTAAAAAAAAAAATGATTTCATGCAGACTTTAAAGACATCAATTTATATTTATCTGTTAATGGTAATGTTTACAGGGGGATGATGGGATGGAGGGACCACCAGGTCTTCCAGGTCCACCAGTAAGTAATACAGAACATCAGAAATTGATATGATCAGTAGATATCAACAAAAGGGGCTGGTCAGGTAAAACAAGTATTCACATCACAATATACTGTATGCTTCCTTTTTAAAATGAATGGTTTCCTTGGTACTATACTGCAGTTTTCTTACTTATACAAATTCAAATGTTTGGGGTCGGTAAGATTTTTTTGTTACTTTTATACTGTTTTCTATTTTAATATATACTAAAATGTAATTTATTCCTGTGATGGCAAAGCTGAATTTTCAGCATCATTACTCCAGTGTTCGGTGTCACATGATCCTTCAGAAATCATTCTAATATGTTGATTTGAGGCTCAATAATCATTCCTCTTATTATCACTGTTGAAAACAGTTGTGCTGCTTAATATTTGTATTGAAAATGTGTTACATATGTTTTTTAAGGATTGAACAATTTAATGCATCTTTCCAAACCCCAAATTTCTAAATGGTAGTGTATGATTTGTGCATTAAATTAGATCTCAGCTTATTTAAATATTTGCAGGGAGCTCCTGGTTGGACAGGTGTGGTTGGTGCCCAGGGACCTAATGGCTCTCGTGTAAGGTTTTTTCCTCATATTTGTTCCACTCTGTTTGTCAGTTTGTAGTATGTTGTTACATACTAATAATTTCTGTTTTATTTTCTAGGGGGAGCCTGGGCCTCCAGGACCTGTTGGTCTTCTGGGACCTCGGGTATGGTATTTATTATTTGGGACATCGTAAAGTTACTGATAAATGACCTCTACATAACCTACAGTATATGTCATTATTAGGGACCCCAGGGATTAGAGGGACAGATTGGGCCTCCAGGACCAAGGGGCCTGAAGGTGAATGTTTGTTCCACTATAATGAATCTAACTGATTGAATAAAGAGATGGTAGTCAGGGATCATTTGAGGTTATGTTATTTCACATAGATATCCGCATACTAATATACTGTATGTATACTAACTAGCCCATGACAGACTCTGTCAAACAATTTACTACTTGATCATGATCCATATTATTGTATTCATATGTTTTTCCACTAGGGACTGTCAGGTCGGGAAGGTTTACCTGGTCCCAAAGGAGAACCTGTAAGCACTCTTTTCTCACAGAGTGAAGAATCTATCTTTAAATTGCTTTGATCTTCTTACTTATTAAAGATTAAGACGTCATGCTGTTCAGTATCACAAGATATTTAATATGAACACATACTCTAGTGTTCAAAAGTTTGTGGTCAGTAAGATTTTTAAAATGTTTTTTAAATAAGTCTCTTACGCTGCATATGTAAAAAACAGTAATATTGTGAAATATTATTACAATTACTACTGTTTTCTATTTTCTATTTCATTAATTTCTGATGTCAAAGTTGAATTTTTGGTATCCATTTCTCCAGCATTCAACTGAAAACAGTTGTGCTGTTTAATATTTTTGTGGAAACAATTATACATTATTTATTTCCAGATTCTTTGATGTATAATATGTTTTTTAAAGCATTTATTTAAGGAAAAAAATTACATTATAACAACATTATGTAACATTATAATTGTTTTACTCTTTTGATCAATTTAATGCATCCTTGCTGAATAAAATTATTAATTAAAAAAAAAAACTTACTGACCCCAAACTTTTAAATGATAATGTACCTTCTTATCCCTGCTCATTTACAGGGACCTGCAGGGTCAGTGGGCCTCAGAGGGGAGCCAGGATTTGATGGATTAATGGTAAAAGCCAAATTCAGTCTAAAGAGTTTTTTTTCCTAATGAGAAAGCTCAACTGTAGTTCATACCACATAGCAAAAAACAAATCCCAAGGTTTTTTTTTTTTTTTGTAACTTCAACTTGAAATTTCAAATTTAACCAATGTCATTTCCTATTTCTGATATGTACTGGTTAATTAGTTTGTTTTTTCTTCATTTTTCTTTAGGGTGTATTAGGAACACAAGGTCCAAAAGGTTTTACTGGTATCAAAGTAAGCTCATGCCATCTCTATTTTTTACATGTCTTGACTATAGAGTTTTCATATCTAATGGCTTTACTGTCTTTCAAGGGTAACAGAGGACCTGATGGAGACCAGGGAGACATTGGACCTAAAGGAAACAAAGTAAACATACAACTATGAATTAGTTTAGAGTATATATAGTGTCTACATTTTAGCTCAAGTTGATGTAATAGGTTACTATCCTCATGATAACAGATGTCACTTGTTGAAAATTGTATTTTCCTCCAAGGGTGTTAGAGGAGCCCCAGGGGTACAGGGCATCCAAGGTGAGCAGGGACCAACAGGCTTTCCTGGTTTCCCAGGCATCAGAGGCCTGCCAGGACCACAGGGGATCCAGGTATGAGTTACATTAATATTGCTTCACTAATATACTAAAATAGACTTTTTTTTTTTGCTTGTCTGTACACCATTAGTCCTAAAAGTCATAACTCAATATCCTCACACAGGGAGAGGATGGAGAAGCTGGTCCGCATGGCAAAGTGGGAAAGGAGGGGCCAAAGGTCAGAGTTGCCCTGAATTACATGCATTAAGATTTTTAGTGTCTCAAATTGAGTGTAATATTCTCCAATGTGAATTGTCCATCTTGATTTTACTGAAGGGGAGCAAAGGTCCCGAAGGCCTCTCTGGAAAGCCTGGTCCTAGAGGCCTAAAGGTAATACACTTCATGGTATATTGTCATATAATATGGTTGTAAGCTATAAGGTATTATAAACAGATCTTTTCAACTAGTTGTGCTGTGTGATATTGATTTTAATAAAGTCTCAATACATATCTAATTTTCAGGGTCGAACAGGGCAGAGGGGTCACACTGGCATGCCTGGACTTCCCGTAAGTGTTCAGACACAAAAGCTGGGACTAATGTCAATCTTTGTGTAGAATGCTGATGATGTCAGTGTTGATGGTGTTTATTGCAGGGTTTACCTGGCCCATCTGGACCTGTTGGAGCTGAAGGAAAGCCTGGTACACAGGTTCCCATTCTATATTCTAATACCATGAACCATGTAGAAAAAATACCATGTAAAAAAGATGTCACTGATGCATTTCTACATCAATTAAATAGAAACATGTAATAATAAGATAGAAGGCTATTGTGCAAAAACATTATAATATTATGGTTTCTAATTCTAGATTTAAATGAAAGTTTAAATTGATTCTCATTGTTCTTTCTTGTGCTCCAGGGACTGCAAGGCCTTGTGGGTAATGCAGGAAGTCAAGGACTAATGGTTGGTTCAGCTCTCTTAACGGAATAGCCCACCTTCCAATTGTTTAAAAGTCTATATTGTTTTTATAAAGTCATTAATGTAGTATTTAGCTACTAGGCTGAAACAAGGCTAGGCTGTTTATTTAGCCATCACTGCTAAGCTTTCTCTAGCACCTCTAACAGACTTTATTTAGCATTAATGAGCCGTTTTTGGCAGTGAAAGGAGCTCTATAATGCAGGATTCATTAATCCAGCAGACTGAGCTCCCGGTGCAGAGCGAATAAAAAACGATGATCAAATTTTATAGAGGATGGGCTATGCCTTTTATGAATCATAAAGAGGTTATACAAACAAAGACAGCCTTTCCAGGAATTTAGTGGGCACCAGTGTTTTTGTGCAGCTTGTCAAAGTTTAATTTGCACCCTACCAGCCATAAATGACTCTAGTAAAATGCAGTAGGTGAGAAGAGTAATGGTAAGTGGTGGCAGCAGAAAACACTGGTTCACACATGAACACACAGGCTTTTAAGGTCTTGGTTGGTTTCTCAAACCTCAGGGATTGCAAGGGATTCCTGGAGAACGTGGTCAGGACGGACCCCCTGGATCTATGGTGAGTTTTCTTCTCTATTCATGTGTTCAACACACATCTTTATAATCACTTCAAAGTTTATTTCCCCTGCTTGCAAGGTAGACACCCTCCTGACCCCCATGCTGAAATTACTTATTGGGCTTGCCAGTTTTATTACTTACAGTACCTACATTTAGAAAACAAAAATAAATTGAATCCATATTACATATTATTTTTCATCATATTGAATTTGTTGCACTGTGCATCCAAATCAGGGCATATGCTGTTAAATTTTCATAATGTATTCATAATTTATTCATTGAAAAGCGCATCAGCTTTTCAATATCCGGCTGAAAAATGATTGTTCTTAAGTTGAGGGTGTTGAAGTTGTGTGTACGTGTTCTCTATTTTTTATTTTATTTATTTATTTATTTTTAGCATTTCTATGTGCGTAAAGCAGATGATTACACTCACATACATTCTACTCTTCTTCTCTCACACAACAATGGAGCTCATACAAATTGAGATCAAAGCCTATTTAGATCTTTAAATCGGTCATTGTTCGGTTTAACTTGTCTTATAAGTATGCTTTGAAGTCTGTCTTACAAGCTTGAATCCTGTAAAGCAACTACTGTTGTGTCTGAGCTGATTAACTCAACTCTTGACCCCATGCCTATGGTATGCAGTCATACAAGGTTCAACAAAGGGGTATTGAGTGGTATCAAGATTCAATTTTATGACATGGTAGTATGTTCCATTGTTGCTATTATTAATCTTAATGTATATCAAAAGTAGTTTTTGTGCTTTTGTAAAGTGTTAGTAAATCAGCATTAAATTAATACTTTTATTCAGTAAGGACTCGTTAAATTGATCAAAAGTGACAGTAATTACTTTTTTACTGTATTTTTTTAAACACAGCCGTTACCTCATATTAGCATTTAGTTGTATGCAGGTGATTCATTTTGCCTATTCAATTAGCTTTTTATGAGCAGAGAGGTTATTGAGAAATGTAATTAGACTAATACCACTTCAGCAACTTAACCATAAAAAAACACAGCATAGTGATCTGTTTGTGAATTGTTAAATCTCTACTGATGATTTTGTTTCGACTGACAGGGTCCACCTGGACGAGAGGGGCCTATGGGCAGTCCAGGACCACCAGGAGAGAGGGTATGTTTTGATTTTTTTGTTTGTTTGTTTGCTCTCATATAGTTCATGGAATCGAGCTGCTGATTTTCAGGATGTTTTGGCATGTGTGGTTATTTCTCTCAGGGTTTCCCTGGAAAGACAGGAGCAGTGGGACTGCAGGGCCCTGTTGGCATGTATGTAAGTGACCCCTCTATAGGGCTTTTATAGAGAGAGAGGGAGCGGGATGAGGATAATAATGTTTAAGGTTGATGTTTTGACATAGCCAGCTCACTCTGTCGTATTCTCTTAAGGGTTTTCCAGGAAACGTGGGTATGAGAGGAAGACTGGGCCACACTGGAAACAGAGTAAAGACAATTTACACTTTAACCATCCCACATTAACAGCGATATGTCATTTTATTATGCTGTTGTACATTGCAGTTATAATGTTGAAGCTCACCTACAGATAAAGGCTCCATTCTTATGGTTTGTGTGCTGCCTCACAGTCTGCATAGGCCACTGACTTTTAAGGCAACATCCTAACCAAAATGGAACCTCATACTGTAAATGACTGCATTCAGGAATTCTCTTATCCATTACAAGGTTGGAACAAATTTCTATTAGGTTGATGACTAAAAAACTAGACAGCTCATTTGGGTTTAGAGCATATCCACACTGTTTTTAGCCTTTACAATAGTAACTTTAGGTAAAGGAGGACATTTGTTTTCTTATAGGGAGATCCAGGTCTAAGAGGGCCTCCTGGACCAACTGGGAAGTCTGGACCACCAGTAAGTGTGTGAGGGATCAAGTACAAACACTGGGATCTAAAACAAGCCAATCGTTTTTATTTTAAATTTTGGGAATCTTTATTTCTTCAATTCTATGGATAAATATAGTTCGGTTTACACTGTTGTGACACTGTCATTTGCATGTTGTGATGACTAATATTCCCAAACTATCTGTGTTATTTAGGGTCCCCCTGGTCCAGTAGGAGAAAAGGGCCCACCAGGACCCCAGGTGCAGTATATACAATTTATCCAAGAAAATATAAGATCTTGACCTTACTAGTTCAGTGGAGTTTATTCCTTATAAAGCAGTGCTGAAATATAAAGTGCTTCATTTATTTCCTTCAACTGTAAACCATGGGTTACATCTCTGCAGGGCCGTCAAGGAGATTCCGGGCATCAGGGAACAGATGGGCCATGTGTAAGCACACAATCAGCTCTTTCATTTACATTATATCTCTATTTGGCTGATAATTTCTAAACACTTATTTGTTCTAAATAATTGTCTACTATAGGGTCCTCCAGGACTTCAGGGGGTCAGTGGGGTCATTGGAAAACCAGGACCCCATGGAAGTATAGGACCCCCAGGGGACCCTGGGCCAAACGGGCCCCCAGGTATTCCAGTAAGTGATTCTTCCTACTATACTTGATGAAAAGCTTCACAACATGAAGGACATTGAAGAACGTCAAGTTAAAATTGCTGCAAATCTTTCTTCAGGGTCCGCAGGGGGCAAATGGACTGCCAGGTATAGATGGGGAGAAAGGAGAAAAGGTGATTGAAGTGATTTATGAGATTTAGAGAATCACAAATTGTGCTTCCTTATGAAATCACTGAAAGTTTCTATAATTGCACAGGGAATGATGGGCCCTTCTGGTGATGACGGGCCTCTCGGACTGGAAGGGCCACAGGTTAGATTGGCATGGAGCTGCAAAATTATTTGGTCTTGGTTCAGTACAGCATAACAAACTAAAGCAACTAGAGGCCATGCATTACAGAGATTTTACCATGGTTATGTGATATTTTAATGAACCAGAATAAAATTACTATTACGTACAACATTGTTATAGAGAAGAAATTTAAGAAATTGGTGGCAACAGAGATGTGATGAAAGCTCTCTGACCTCTGCAGGGTCCATCTGGTCCGTCAGGTTTGGAGGGGCCTCCTGGAAGGAAAGGTGATAAGGTATGGTGAAATAATTATAAAATTATATTTGCTTGACACAGTAACATTTATACAGGATTTTTTACCTTTTAAATTTTTTTTTATTAATACAATGTCATTTTTGTACTGGCAGGGGGACAGAGGTCCCTTTGGAAAACCTGGTCTTCAAGGACCAAAAGGAGACATTGGCCCTCCAGGTGCTAAAGGTCTAATGGGTACACCAGGCCCAGCAGGCAGTGAGGTGTGCAGATCAATTTCTTAATGTCGTGCAATTTGACTGTGCAATTTAACCCTAAAGTCATATGTCTCAAATGCAATAAGTCTCACTGTCACTGTAAGAGCAATGTTGGTGTATTTCTTCTAATGAAGGGCGATGCTGGTCCAGTTGGAGTTGCTGGTGATCCCGGCCCTAAAGGAGAAAAGGTCATTTATCTTTTACAGCTTGTGTCATTTCACAAGGGAAAATGCTATTGTACTATATTTAATTTTTTTTCCTCAGGGTGATATAGGCCTGCGAGGATTCACTGGTTTAGAGGGACCATGGGGAGAAGTGGGGGAGCAGGGAGAGAGGGGGCTCAAGGGAGACAAGGGGCAAATCGGACTGCAGGTAAGTGCAAATCAGCATTTCACTATGTATTTTTTTATGTAACATTTTATTTAGCCTGATATGTTTTTATCATTTGATATGCACTACTGTTCAAAGGTTTGAGTTCAGAAACAATGCGTTAAGTTTATCAAAAGTGATAAAGTGGTAAAAATGTAAAGACATTTTATAATGTTACAAAAGTTTTTATTTAAAATAAATGCTATTCGTTAATGAATCCTGAAAATGTATCACGGTTTCCACAAAAATATTAAGCAGCACAACTGTTTTTAACATATTACTGTTTTGGTGTATATTTGATAACGTAAATTCAGCCTTGGTGAGCATAAGAGACTTAAGAGCATAAAAGAAAGATCTTACCAACCCCGAAGTTTTCAATGGTAATGTAGGTATCTAATTTAAACACTAAAATACATAGTATCTTGTCAGTACTTGTTTGAGTCAGCTTTGTTGCATTTGTTTGTGATTGTCTGTGAACATTGGCTGTTTTTATGTTAGGGTGAGTCAGGCCTCATGGGTGGTGTTGGACCTCCTGGCCTAAAAGGTGTAGAGGTGAGTGTTGACCTGAGAATGAATGACCCCTGTATTCATGCGTGATATGGCCGCATAGTTGAAGTTACTAATAAACAGTTCCTGTTTTCTTGTGTTTCAGGGTGGACCAGGCCATCCAGGATTGGTGGGGCCAGATGGACCTCCAGGAAGCAAGGTAGCATGTTTGGTTGTTCACTTAGAGCATCTTTGGATTATTTATTTTTATGGTCTAAAATTAAGCTTCTCTTTTAGGGGGAGGTTGGGCCAAGTGGTTTTCCTGGTGAGCCAGGAGATGCTGGACCTGAGGTTCTGATCCACTTGAAAACATATTACTGTATATGTGCATAACATGTAACGTCTTTTTTTACATTGGATTGAAACTCTTTGGATGTCAAAAGAATTGCTGAATTGTTGTGTTATTGTTGTTCTCAATATTCATATCTATGCTTCAGGGAATTGCAGGTCCCAAAGGCGTGCGAGGTGATGCAGGAAAAGCCGGGACACAGGTAAAGATCATTTCTTTGCATTCATATTCCTCCCCCAGATAATCTGTTCTTGATAGTTTATTCTTATGGGATCTCTTGGGAAAACCGGGAAACAACAAATTAATTTTATCTCAAGAGTAACTCATTAATTTTCATATCTTGGTCTACAGTTAGGTGTTGGCTCAGTAGGTCCCCAAGGTCTTTTGGGCCCTAAAGGTCTCCCAGGGCCTGAAGGGGAGAAAGGAGACTCAGGAGATAAAGGAGAACCAGGGGTGGAGGTGAGTTTGTAATGAACTCCACTAAGATGGAAACTCTTGATTGCTTCCTTAAATTGCCTGTAAATTCACTACATGTTCAAATTGAAGGCATTTATTTTCTTTAGGGGCCAAACGGCCTTCAAGGCATTCAAGGACCACCAGGACTGCCTGGTTTGGAGGTACAGACCATTAAAACCTAGAATATTGCATTTGTTCAACAAGATGGTGTGGCGTTTTGGTCTTGTCTGTGTATATAAATATAGCACATGTGATTGAATAACCCAATTATATCAATTCAAATCTACTCTGTTAGGGTCTACAAGGTGAGGCAGGGGTACATGGCTCACCAGGTCTGCCAGGAGCTCAGGTCAGTGCCCAGTGAGATAAAATATTTACAGCAAAGATGCAACAAATAGATGTACCTTATCTTAATTCTGCTTTTGTTTCAACTCTGCTGAATCATTAGGGCCCTTAATGAGTTTTGATTGTTGCAGGGCCACATGGGTAACCCAGGACCTGAAGGAAGAGAAGGCATGAAAGGAGAGAAGGTAAGGTCATAATGTTCTTTTCTCTGTCTTAATCCTTGTCTGCTATCTAAAATAAAAATTCTTCCTCTATGCCTTTGTCCTTGCTGTCAGATATGAGAACTGTGTTTGAGAATACAGATTTTCTAGGACTCTTATCTGAAGTTTCATTTTAAATTTGAATTTGCTGCTTGATGCATTTTTAGGGAGATCAAGGCAAGGATGGAACACCTGGAAAAATGGGTCACATTGGACGGAGGGTAAGATGAGATATGCCCTTTTAGTACCCTCTTTGACTATTAAATGTTTCCAAATTTCTAAGTTAACGCCAAAGAAGTTTAGCGACAATATTGTGTCATGAAAACTTATTTTAGACTCTGATGTCATGCATGTCATAATTCCGGACAAACATTTGGAAGATGGTGGTGATTATGATTGATAAATTAAATTTTTTTGTTGGTGGTTTATACCTAAAGAGTAAAAGAGGCAAGGCAGGGTTGAGGGGGACCAGAGGACCAAGAGGAGAAAAGGTCAGAGTTCAGAGATGAGGTCAACAATGACAACATGGCATTTAAATACATGATGAGTTTAATTTTTGAATTTCATGGCTTGAATTGGACATACAGTATTATGGATTACCTTATTGGCTTCTCCTTGTCCAATAGGGAGAGAGGGGAGATGTAGGAGAGAAAGGACTTCCTGGATGGGGAGGAAGTATGGTAAGCTTGATACGCTTGATATGCCTGGTCAGAACAATAAATATCAAAGTAATCACATATTTTGAATTAAATAACATTGTGGGAATTAATAAAATGGGAAACTATTAGCACAGTTCTTCGAAATCATAATCATGCATTGATTAAACCTTTGTTCTATGCTTGACAGGGAATCCAAGGGCTGAGAGGAGAGCCTGGGGAGCAAGGTGTCAAAGGAGCAGAGGTGCTTTTAAAGTTTTACTCAGACAGGATTCCTTTTATGCAGATACCTTAGAAATACAGTATTAATATTGATACCTTAACTTGTCCATAACAGGGTGAGAAAGGAGATCAAGGACCACTTGGTCCACCAGGGAAAGATGGCTTGAAGGTATAATGTATATCAAGCACATCCTATGAGTCTGCAGTGTAGCCTATTCAGTTCTCTTAGACAAGTATTTATTTGTTCTTTTTAGGGAAGTATGGGGCCTCTTGGTCCTCCTGGACCACCAGGACCAAAGGGGGATCAGGTAAGGTCAACATATCTCATTGAACAGATATTCTTTTGCTTATTGCCTTCACCATAGATATAAGACGATGCTTATAATAATAATAATAATAATAATAATAAACAAATATGAAAAATAATTCTTTTTCTGTTTTATATTGACTGTTTTATATATATTGTACATATATATATTTTGCAGCACTGTCAATATTGATGAATCTTTATGATTAATCTTCTTTTCCTTCACTTGCTCTGGTTAAAATCATCTTATGAATAATTAAATATAAAATGTGTGTACTTTTCCTTAAGGGAAATATTGGTCCTGCTGGGCCTAGAGGGGCACCTGGAATACCTGGACTACCGGTGAATATGTCTTTTTTTTAAGGTTTCAGCATTTAAACTAATAGCAAGCTGTACCTATTACACCGTAGCCCAATTTGCATTAAAACATCTGCTGCAGATGCATTTACGTGTGCTCTGTCTTTTCAAGATATGAAACCGTTGTTAATTCATTGTTAATGACAAAAGCAAGGGCAGTGGAGTGCCTTATCGCAACCACAGCCTGTTTTTTTTTTGTTTGTTTGTTTTTGGACAGAGCATAAAGATCATTTATAATTTCTTTCTCTTTTATCTCTTCCACCCTGCAGGGCTTGTTTGGAGACAAGGTATGAAATGTAATTTTCAAAGCTTTCTTTAGTCAGGTTAAAAGGAAATGTTGCAGCTCAATCAAAATAAAAATACATAAAATCGTTTTATATTCACAGTAACATAAATTAAGATTAGTTATTAAATATCTCGTTTTCACTTTAATCCTAGGGACTTCAGGGATTTCAGGGGAATCCTGGACCTCCTGGAAGGAGGGGCTTGCCAGTAAGTTGGCACCTTTAAATGTTTTTGTAACAATATGACAACTCATTTCTTTATTTATTAATTTCATTTCTTATTTTAGGGTCCACCGGGGCCACCAGGGCCTGCTGGCGTTTCTGTGAACCTGACCCAGATCAAGGCAAGTTTTTTTTTTCTTCTTAGTGGCCCTTTTACTCTGATTTGCTGTGCTGATCATTAAATACCAAACATCCCATGATTATGGTCACACTGAATAAATTTGAATGAAGAGAGTCAACATTTTGTGCATTGATATCATGGCAGAACTAAAATATGTGCTGTTCAGCAAACTGCAGTGGCAGAGCATCACCAAATCTAACTTTCTTATTCTTGGACCCTCACTAAAATGTAGATCACAAAAAAGCAAATCAATTTGTACTACTTTTTATTCTCCAATAGGACCTGATGTACAGTTCAGACAAACCCAATTACCCTCTGATTCAGACACTGTTGGACTCTCTGTACCATGACCTCCGGCTGCTGGTGGACCCTCCGGATGGCAGCAAGCAGCACCCAGCATCTACCTGTCTGGAGCTGTGGCTGTGCCATCCCAACTACACCAGCGGTCAGAGTCCTATCTTTCAGCTTTTCTATTTTTCAAAGTCATTTATCTGTTTGTTTTTGTTTCCCTTTGTGCTATCATTGAGAAATCTTTGCATTATGGTTATTTTTTTCTCTAAAAAGGTGATTGTGCTTATGGAGTTTTAAAAGCTTTTGAAACACATACACTTCGTTACATTGACCCCATTTAAACCTGGTATTAAGATCTGTCTCAGGCAATAAAATCTAAGGTGAACAGCACTAAGGTGTAAATGAGATTTTTTTTTATTATTATTTATTTTTATTTTTTTTTTGCATTTCCAAAGGATAGTTAAAGAGATAGTTCACCTTCAGTCAATTGGGGCCAGCAACTGAAGGTGAACTATCCCTTTAATACAGCTGCTTGACTAAAATAACTAAAGAAGTGTGTGTGCGTGCGTGTGTGCGTGTGTGTGTGCACTATGAAATATATTTTAACTGTATGTTGTTTTGGATAAAATAATCTGTTAAATAATGACTTTTGTAACTTTTGCAGGATTCTACTACATTGACCCAAACCAAGGCAGTCCTTTAGATGCTCTTTTGGCATACTGTAACCTCTCAGAGTCAGGAGCAGAGACCTGCCTTCACCCCAGAGATGCACACGTAATGTTCTACTTAACACCTCAGAGGTGGACAGTAGTGAAGTATTTTTACTCTGATTTAAAAGTACTTTTCAAGTGTCTGTACTTTATCAGTACAGTGTTTTTCTTTAGAAAACTTTACTTCACAACATTCCAAAGCATAATATTGTACTTTTTACTGCACTACATTTCATATTAAATATCATTTAATACTTAATTACATTAGAAATATATTACTTTCTTACTTTTACTCAAGTAAACGTAGTTCAAAGATTTACTTGAGTACAAGAAAGTACTACATTTTTAATGTTCTTAAGTATTAAAGTAAAACAAACAACTTTTATTTATGAAATGTATTGCAGTAAAAAGTGTGCCATTATGCTTTGGATTGTAGTGAAGTAAAGTTTTCCAAAGAAAAACAATCTGATAAACTACAGATACTTTTTAAATTTACTTGAGTAAAGTAAAAATACTTCACTACTGTCCGCCTCTGCTCACCACTGTGTCTCTTTAATGTCAAAGAACATCAAAATCTTATTATAGCTCTTCCAATTTCCGTAGCTTCCCATAAGCACTTGGCTGAATGACTCAGGGAATAACAGCAAGTTCTACTGGTTAAGTTCACTGGAGGGAGGTTTTAAAGTAAGTAGTACTATTTGTTTGTGGAAATTTTTACTTCCTATTGGATCAAAGTTTGTGCTATTGACAAGAGATAGCCCATCTCTTGACTGTGGGATAGTTGACCTAAAATAAAAAAATTCACAGGATTTGTAGACTTTGGCTACGTTCACACTGCGAGCTTTAGTCCTAAATTCCGATTTTTTTTGTATAGCTGTTCACATTTGTTACGGTCCTTTCGAGATCTAGGGAATTGGTCCGCAACATTTAAAACAAATTAATTCGATGAATGGAGAGGAGAGCAGAAAAAAACAGCCACGACGACAGCATATGGCAAAAAGGCAGTAATTTATTCTACAAATGGCAGAAGGCAGCAACTTATTCACGTAGCTGTCCAGAAACGCACCAGCAGCGCGTGTGCATATTTACAGTGCCGAAAATAAAAGTATAATACAAACAAACCAACAAAAAGGGAGAGACATGATAGAGTGGCGCCTAAATCAACAAAGAAACAAAACCAAACAAGGCTACACTAAACGCCCAAACCCACTAACCTATCCTAACCAAATAAAAATGTGAAACAAAAACACGAAAGCTTCGGCGTAGGCGACGCCCTAAATACCCTACACTAACTAAAACAGAAAGAAATACACAAGAGGCGCTCACCCACTGACTAGTGTATCTAACACGGTTTCACTACGTGCAAGAGATGTAACCTACAACTAAGCTTACCTACCCTCATCTCCCACCTAGAGAACGAGAAAACTCAATAAGCTCACCATCAATTCGGCACATAGTTGTAAGACATGAAAGTCATACTGAGCAACTTGAGAACGAGAAGATACACAGGAGTGAGGCACAACTCAAACAAATCGAAAACACACACGCTGATGCCCGGGAGCTCACACAGGCTCTCCGCTCAGAGCACAGCCAAAAAGTCTCGCTACACACCCCAACAGCGCTCACTGCGCTGCCCTCGCCTCCCGGGCGTTGTTTTAAATGTGGCCAATATCAGATTTCCAGTGTGAACAGATGATGGTTCTGAACTGGCCCGTATGCGCAAAAGAACAATACGAACAGGGTTGCCAGGTTTTCACAACAAAATCTGCTCAATTGCTTCTCAAAACTAGTCCAGTCATGTTCTCGGGTTTATATTTCGCGTTAGTGGGGTCGCTTTAACCCATGGAGTTGAAAAACAACCCCCGGCAACAGTGAAAAAGTTGCCCAATTCTGTGGGAAAACTGTGGACTTGGCAACACTTGCGCAGCGCGCTGTCATACGAAAGTAAACACAGAGGACATAAAGTAAGTGATTGTGCATTTATTTATAGTGTGATCTGCCGCAGAAGCCAGCGAAATTATGCACAGGCAGTATGAAAAGGCAATAAAGACAAGGATGTGACCGAAAAGAGCAGAGTTTTGAAACTTTTATGATACGAGCCCTTATGTTCTGACACATCTCTGTACTTCCACTGACTACCTTTCGCAACTGTCTAGCTTTGTGTTTGTAAAATCTTTGAAGTGACTCCCATGAGCGCAGAATCGTGATGAATGGTGATGGTAAAAGTCACATGAATTCCGATATGACTGTTCACACTGCGGCCGCATTGCAAAACATCTAACCTGTATCGGATTTAGTATCGCATATGGAAGTTTTTTATTTTTATTTTTATTTATTTTTTTTATTAAACATTATTCGAATACAAACACTTAAGGCATATTTTCCTTATTTTCCTGTCTTCTCTTCTCTAAATTACTGAAGTACGAGGTGTTATTTTCTCCTTGCTCTATCCACTTTGCTCGCGATCTCACAAACGCACCTTGAGCTCTTTTGCAATACATATCGTCTAATTTGGACTGGAATATCAATAGTTTGTCTTTATCTTCACTGTTTAATTCTGCCTTATCACAGTATTTACAAATTTCTTGGAACATGTTACATTCTTCTCTTCTTTTTTCCAAGACAATCTTCTTACTAAACTTTATGGAACTTTCTCTAATTCTATATTTTACAAATTCCCATTTACTGCAAAGACTATTTATAGTCTCATTATTTTCAATTTCAATTATTATTTCTTTTATCTTTGTACAATATTCTTTATTTTTTAACAGACCAGAATTAAATTTCCAGTAGCCTTTATTTTTCCTTATTCTATCAACTGGATTTAATTTCATTTCTACAATACAATGATCTGTTAGCGGGGCTTTGGAAATCAAGATGTCTGAGGCAAATTCTCTAAACGAGTAATCCACAAGCCAGTAGTCAATCCTGGATTTACAGGTGTTATTAGGTTTAAACCAGGAATATTGTTTTACTCCTGGGTTTAAACTTCTCCAAATATCTATCAGGTGATTTTTATTCATAAATTCCCCTATTGTATGGTTAAGGTGGTAGCTGTCAAATTTAGTGGGCCATCTGTCTTCCCATTAGTCAGGTGTCATATTCCAGTCACCTCCCATGAGAATAAAATCTGTAGGATAAACTGTTTTGAGCTCTGATAAAGTGTTTGTAATTTCTTCAAGCATTTGTTTATTTTGGGCAACAGTTCTATGACCATATACGTTAGTTAGTATGAAAAAACAACCATCAATTTTTAAAACCACCATCAGCCAGTGACCTTGGCTATCTGTCCTGTATGTTATTATATCACCTGGAAACCTATTCAAACAAACTGCAACACCAGCAGACTTATTGGTCCCATGACTAAACAGTATACGATCACCCCATTGGTTAGACCTAAACTTAACATCCAATTCGGAAGAATGAGTTTCTTGTAATAGCAGACATTGTGGTTTTCGCCCTTTACAAAATAAAAATAGTGCTTTTCTTTTGACCAAATCTTTTAGACCCCTCACGTTTAACGAAGCAAATGAGATTGAACAATTGAACATTGCTGAAGATAATGAGATAACTATAAAACGAAGAAACAGAAAAAACAAACAGTAAGAACTTACGTTTAAAGCTTATTCACGCTGATTAACAAATACAAAAATAGTCCCATGTCCTCTTAACACACTCCTTTTACATCTAGTGTCAGTAGATCAAACCTTTCCTTCGTTTAACCAATTCGACGACCCTCTATGTATCCGTACGGTCCGCGGTAGTAAGCACGCTTTCCATCCCGACGAGCCTGTTCAATTTGCGGCCAGAGTTTTTTCCTTGCCTCTCTATCCTCTAGCGGTAGCATCTCGGCGAGGCGGACGCCTTTCTCTCGGCATACCGGGGCATCCTTGCAGCGACGCCATAACTCCTCTTTGACAAGTCTCCGGACAAATAAGATAACTACATGTCTATTCCTGTTGTCTTCCTTTCGTCCGACTCTGTGCACAATGTCGATTGCTTCTTCGAGCTGTCGCTGTTCCATGTCAGGGGCGATCTCACTGAGCAGTTGTATGACGTCGGCTCTAACGTTCTCGTCCTTTCTTTCCGACAAGCCTTTAAGTTTCAGACACCATCGCATCTTGTATCTCTCCTGGTCCCTGATTCTCTCCTTAAGCTCTTGATTTTCTTTGCACAAACGTTCGTTACACTTTTCCAGCTCGATAACTTTCCCCTTGCATTCCTTAACTTCTTCGGCATTGAACTGCACAGCTTTCGTTAGGCTAGCAATCATGCTGCTACTCTGTTTAGCTTGCTCTCGAAGTTCTTTTCCAAACTCTGAATGGCTTCCAGTATGGTCAGGTTAGAGACCTCATTTTCCTTTAATGTAGTTTTGCTCTTTTTCCCAGCTGGAATCTTACTCGGAGTTGTCGGCGTGGAGTCTTTTCTTTTAGTGATTGTGCTAACCTCCATATCGTAGTAATGGTCGGCAGATTGTTCGAAAATCTTAGTGCTCATCGCAGCTTGCTTCTTTTCACTGTCCCCCTCTTTAAATGTCAGTCTGGCCGGTTTGATCATACTTTTTTAATTGTTTGGAGTGTCTTTAGAAGCAGAAAATCAAGATTTGGGACAATTTTGCTTCCGTCTCTGACGCGAGTGACTGTTCAACACGCCATCTTGCCCGGAACTCTCACATATGGAAGTGGCACAAATCGGAATTGAAAAGATCAGATTACATGTGGTTTGTGCTATTCACACTGTCATAAGAAAAACATATCTGAGTCACATGTGAGCAAAAAAAATGGGATTTGGATTTATAAACTGATGTATACACTTTAGAAGTTGATTGTTTACTTTTGCGGCTCTTTTTTGTGTTTTTTGGACATCAACAGCGCCATTTACTAGTCTATTTACTAGCTAAATACTAGCTATTTTTTGTTGTATGGAAAAAAAACAAACAAACAAAATGATAATGGAATTTTTTACATTTTGCTGAACTGTCCCTTTAATGCTTTAACATCTTTAATTGATTGTCCAGGTTAATTGCTGCTAATAATGCACTCTAAAAAATGCTGGGTTAAATATAACCCAGCGCTGGGATAAAAAGGGACAAACCCAGCTATTGGGTTGTTTTGACCCAGCGGTTGGGATGTTTTGAACCCAACCGCTGGGTCAAAACAACCCAATAGCTGGGTTAAAACAACCCAATAGCTGGATTTGTCCCTTTTTAACCCAGTGCTGGGTTATATTTAACCCAGGATTTTTTAGAGTGTGTTGTTCTTATTATAAAAGTCTTGCTCTTCATTGTTTTATGTTCCGTTTCAAGCCCTGATGTTGCACACAGTAAACTGTCCTTCAATATTGCCATCAAAACCCATCTGTCTGTCTTTGGTCAGTTTGAGTATCCAGCCCTCAGTGTGGTTCAGCTGCGGTTTCTACGGCTCCAGAGCAACAGAGCAGAACAGAGAGTGATGTACTCCTGTTACCCTGGACACCGACTGGGCCAGACACAGCGACAGGTCCAGTTCCTCACAGACGCTATAAAGCAGAGCTATTTAGGAGAACTGCAGGATTGTGTGGTATGTGGATTCTAACAGCACTAGTAATAAAAATGTGTAATTTTTATCACATTTTTGAAGGTCAATCGTTTGTATATGGTTCATTCATTGCTGTGGGGAGCACATTTATTTTGATATACACTACTGTTCAAAAGCTTGGGGTCAGTTGAAAGAAGTTTTGGTCACCAAGGCTGCACTTATTTGATCAAAAACACAGTAAAAACAGTAATATTGTGAAATATTATTACAATTAAAAAATAGCTGTTTTCTATTTGAATCTATTTTAAAATGTAATTTATTCCTGTGATGGCAAAGCTGAATTTACTGCTCAAAAACATTATCAGTGTTTCAAACAATTGTGCTTTACCTTTAACAATAATTTTAAAACCATTTATGTTTGTATTTGTTGTACCAGTCTGCAAAGGAAGTGGATCCCGGACCGCGCGAGTCCATGTTTCAGTTTGAAGACATGGACCTGCTTCCTTTACGTGATATAGGAATGTTGGGCAACAGCAGCCACGAGTTTGGCTTCACCATTGGCCCTGTGTGCTTCAGCTAGAGACACCCTGAATGATAACGGTACATCCTGTGCATTTAACCTTAAATACAAGCACCAAAGAGAAGAAAACAGGACACTCTGAAGACACATGCAGCATCTACGGCTCGTGGTAAGGAAATACGCTAAACAGAGTCCTGTCTATCCCTGTGCTTCCAGACAAATGGACAATATCCTTTTTTGTTTACAGGGACTTTTGGCTTTGTAATTAATGTACTATTTTTATAATAATTCTGTTTGTTTTAGCAATGTTTTTTAATCACTAGCTGGTCTTGTAATAACATTGTAGAAGAAGCTTGGATCGTATCAAGTGTAATGACAGGGTTCTGACGTGACCACTATGTGGTTGCATGGTTTAAGTTTCAGCTGTTTACTATTTAATCATGTACAAATGGTTATCATGGATTAACTGGTTATTATGCATTATTTAGGTGAGTGTATGAATGACACTTTTTCCCCTCTCGTTTAAGTGTCTAACTTGAATTGTAGGACTGATAGAAACAAAGCGTCCCAGTGAGGACACAGCTAACCTTCCCATGAGGTTTGGATATCAGGAAGTCTGTGCTACCTTTCTGTTTTCTCTGTTCATGTCATGATTTGGTTTCAGAAATGGTCATGTTACCTAAATATGTATGTTAGATGATTTATGGGTGCTAATATTTACAATTCAGCAGTAACAGTTGTTTCAAAAAGAGAAGAATAATACAAACTGCAGCAAAGCTGGTTAATAAATGTGCAAGCAGTGATCTGCATTATGAATATGAGACTGAAAGTCAGTACACATGCATAAAGTCATAGAGACAAGTGTCCTTCAGTTCACATTTATTGTATGTAGGTCTCAGGGAGCACTTACAAATATGACATAAATACAAAAAAAAAAACAAAACACAAATGATATAGGTAAAATAGGTTAATATGTTGAGATTAATCAAACAAAGCCAAATACAAGTGTCGTTCATCATTATCATTTTAAATCACATTGAATTTAGGCACAGGTGCTTTGTTTTGGAAAACTTTTTGTTCTAAAACATTTTGTACTGTATATTGTGTTTTCTATGTATTTGTGGTGACATCGAAATCACATGCTGGTCATCTGTTTGAGCATCAGCTATAAAAAGTGCATTAATGTATCATTTCAGTCGTGTTGGACAATTTTGTATCATTGTGTGAAACACGAACATTTCTTAAAAACTGCTTTGTGGAGTTGTGTTTTTCATGTTCAAACAGCAAAACATGCTAATGAGCAAAACTGCAACCCAGGTGTATCTCAGAAGTATCCATGAGCAGGTACAATTTACTAGAATAGAAGTGCCACCCTTTGCCTGTATTTATTTTCTGAACGCAGTCATTCGTGTCCTGTAGTCTGTGTGGAATGGGACGAAGTGGGAAATCTACTGTACACTGCATGCCTAAACCTGCCATGAAAGATTTCAAAAGTTCAGATCTGGTCATTGGGAATGGAATGGAAGGTGCCAGACTTTTGAGTGTCTATAAGGACATCATCATATTTTATTGCCTGAACATAATGAGGGAGGAGTGTCATCAGTCCCAGATAACAGAGATAACTAACGTGTTTCTTTCTTTTCACAGTCACCTAATTTATATATATATTTTTTGAACAAAAAATTCATTTATAATTCATTTCAAGCCTCTTGTATTTTCAAATGTACTGTAGCTGAATTCTCTAGCTGTATATTTGTTTATTTTACATATACACTATTATGCTATATACTGTATTATTGATATATTTATCTATTTGCAGTACTTGAGTACAACTCATTTTTAAGCATAGTAAAATGCTTAATTTGTAATATTAATATATGTACGCACACTAAAATAGGATCCAGGATGGATGGATGGGTGCATTTATGTATATATTTTATTTATTATTTATTTTAGTTCTATATACACTTGTCAATTCAATTCTTATATTTAAGTGTATTAAAATACTTAATTTATGCTATTTAACATTAAATATATTATTGCCATTTTTTATTTGTTTGCATATAACAAAATTCTGCATGGGACACTCAATTTCCAAATGTAGTTCTGTTTTATTTGTGGTGACGTTTTTGCAATTTCATTAATAATCAAGCATTATATGCATATATATTAAAAAAAAAAAATAAGATGGCAAACCACGCTATCATTAGTATGATCATGTTTACTGACATTGTTGAAGTGAAAATCGGTTATAACTTATAAGGTTATGAACGTGTTAATAAAAGAGGGCGGAGTCCGAACGAATGACGCGTGAGCGGGAGAATCACGTGATATAGTAAGGAGCCGACACATAAACATTTGCCATAGCACACAGCTGTTTGACTAGTAACAGCGTTCATGCTTATTTTTCTACAGATTGACATATTATGAACAGACTGCATATGAGCCTAAATGAGCGTTTTGTTGGAGGAACACGGGGTTTGTAGGAGAGCAGCGTGATGGAGGAGAGATAGAGATCTGATAGCCACTCCTGCTGTCACCTACACACGGAGTGTACACTATTACTACACGCACAGTGGATGGGATGCATTGGCTGTGACCTCCTCCTCTTCATGCATATAGTTACCTTTAACAATAATTTTAAAACCATTTATGTTTGTATTTGTTGTACCAGTCTGCAAAGGAAGTGGATCCCGGACCGCGCGAGTCCATGTTTCAGTTTGAAGACATGGACCTGCTTCCTTTACGTGATATAGGAATGTTGGGCAACAGCAGCCACGAGTTTGGCTTCACCATTGGCCCTGTGTGCTTCAGCTAGAGACACCCTGAATGATAACGGTACATCCTGTGCATTTAACCTTAAATACAAGCACCAAAGAGAAGAAAACAGGACACTCTGAAGACACATGCAGCATCTACGGCTCGTGGTAAGGAAATACGCTAAACAGAGTCCTGTCTATCCCTGTGCTTCCAGACAAATGGACAATATCCTTTTTTGTTTACAGGGACTTTTGGCTTTGTAATTAATGTACTATTTTTATAATAATTCTGTTTGTTTTAGCAATGTTTTTTAATCACTAGCTGGTCTTGTAATAACATTGTAGAAGAAGCTTGGATCGTATCAAGTGTAATGACAGGGTTCTGACGTGACCACTATGTGGTTGCATGGTTTAAGTTTCAGCTGTTTACTATTTAATCATGTACAAATGGTTATCATGGATTAACTGGTTATTATGCATTATTTAGGTGAGTGTATGAATGACACTTTTTCCCCTCTCGTTTAAGTGTCTAACTTGAATTGTAGGACTGATAGAAACAAAGCGTCCCAGTGAGGACACAGCTAACCTTCCCATGAGGTTTGGATATCAGGAAGTCTGTGCTACCTTTCTGTTTTCTCTGTTCATGTCATGATTTGGTTTCAGAAATGGTCATGTTACCTAAATATGTATGTTAGATGATTTATGGGTGCTAATATTTACAATTCAGCAGTAACAGTTGTTTCAAAAAGAGAAGAATAATACAAACTGCAGCAAAGCTGGTTAATAAATGTGCAAGCAGTGATCTGCATTATGAATATGAGACTGAAAGTCAGTACACATGCATAAAGTCATAGAGACAAGTGTCCTTCAGTTCACATTTATTGTATGTAGGTCTCAGGGAGCACTTACAAATATGACATAAATACAAAAAAAAAAACAAAACACAAATGATATAGGTAAAATAGGTTAATATGTTGAGATTAATCAAACAAAGCCAAATACAAGTGTCGTTCATCATTATCATTTTAAATCACATTGAATTTAGGCACAGGTGCTTTGTTTTGGAAAACTTTTTGTTCTAAAACATTTTGTACTGTATATTGTGTTTTCTATGTATTTGTGGTGACATCGAAATCACATGCTGGTCATCTGTTTGAGCATCAGCTATAAAAAGTGCATTAATGTATCATTTCAGTCGTGTTGGACAATTTTGTATCATTGTGTGAAACACGAACATTTCTTAAAAACTGCTTTGTGGAGTTGTGTTTTTCATGTTCAAACAGCAAAACATGCTAATGAGCAAAACTGCAACCCAGGTGTATCTCAGAAGTATCCATGAGCAGGTACAATTTACTAGAATAGAAGTGCCACCCTTTGCCTGTATTTATTTTCTGAACGCAGTCATTCGTGTCCTGTAGTCTGTGTGGAATGGGACGAAGTGGGAAATCTACTGTACACTGCATGCCTAAACCTGCCATGAAAGATTTCAAAAGTTCAGATCTGGTCATTGGGAATGGAATGGAAGGTGCCAGACTTTTGAGTGTCTATAAGGACATCATCATATTTTATTGCCTGAACATAATGAGGGAGGAGTGTCATCAGTCCCAGATAACAGAGATAACTAACGTGTTTCTTTCTTTTCACAGTCACCTAATTTATATATATATTTTTTGAACAAAAAATTCATTTATAATTCATTTCAAGCCTCTTGTATTTTCAAATGTACTGTAGCTGAATTCTCTAGCTGTATATTTGTTTATTTTACATATACACTATTATGCTATATACTGTATTATTGATATATTTATCTATTTGCAGTACTTGAGTACAACTCATTTTTAAGCATAGTAAAATGCTTAATTTGTAATATTAATATATGTACGCACACTAAAATAGGATCCAGGATGGATGGATGGGTGCATTTATGTATATATTTTATTTATTATTTATTTTAGTTCTATATACACTTGTCAATTCAATTCTTATATTTAAGTGTATTAAAATACTTAATTTATGCTATTTAACATTAAATATATTATTGCCATTTTTTATTTGTTTGCATATAACAAAATTCTGCATGGGACACTCAATTTCCAAATGTAGTTCTGTTTTATTTGTGGTGACGTTTTTGCAATTTCATTAATAATCAAGCATTATATGCATATATATTAAAAAAAAAAAATAAGATGGCAAACCACGCTATCATTAGTATGATCATGTTTACTGACATTGTTGAAGTGAAAATCGGTTATAACTTATAAGGTTATGAACGTGTTAATAAAAGAGGGCGGAGTAATGACGCGTGACGCGTGAGCGGGAGAATCACGTGATATAGTAAGGAGCCGACACATAAACATTTGCCATAGCTGTTTGATGTTTGACTAGTAACAGCGTTCATGCTTATTTTTCTACAGATTGACATATTATGAACAGACTGCATATGAGCCTAAATGAGCGTTTTGTTGGAGGAACACGGGGTTTGTAGGAGAGCAGCGTGATGGAGGAGAGATAGAGATCTGATAGCCACTCCTGCTGTCACCTACACACGGAGTGTACACTATCACTACTCGCACAGTGGATGGGATGCATGGGCTGTGACCTCCTCTTCATGCATATAGATCCTCCTCCTAACCAGGAGCAGCAAGTTGTCCAGAGAAAGGTAAAACGAGGATGCGTTTGGAGGCCAGTTACTCCCTTACCTGAGCAGATGGGTTAAGCAGTTAATATGGAATTAATGCATTGTTCTCTTTCTTTTTGTTTCATTTTACTGTGCTTTATTGGTATGCCAAACATTACATTTGTATTGCCAAAACATCTGCTGCATAGCTGTGTAAAATGAGAAATCTGTCCATGTAAAATAAATATAGCAAGTACTGGTCCAGCACCATATACTGTGTGTATATATATATATATGTGTGTGTGTG